GTTTCCCAGCTAAGTGCGTGTACCCGCGTGTACGTGCGTGTACCCGCGTGTCCCCGCGTGTACGTGCGTGTCCCCGCGTGTACGTGCGTGTACCCGCGTGTACGTGCGTGTACGTGCGTGTACCCGCGTGTACGTGCGTGTACCCGCGTGTACGTGCGTGTACGTGCGTGTACCCGCGTGTACGTGCGTGTACCCGCGTGTACGTGCGTGTATCTGCGTGTACGTGCGTGTACCCGCGTGTACGTGCGTGTACGTGCGTGTATCAGCGTGTACCCGCGTGTACGTGCGTGCACCTGCGTGTACATGCGTGTACCCGCTTGTACGTGCGTGTACATGCGTGTACGTGCGTGTACCCGCCTCTACGTACGTGTACCCGCGTGTACGTGCTTGTACCCGCGTGTACGTGCGTGTATCTGCGTGTACGTGCGTGTACCGCAGTGCAACCGCGCTGCAACCGCAAGTTAAGATCACGTGACTCGCTTGACCTGCTGCTATTGGTCGGTTACATAGAGCCGGTGTGGAACTTGACACAGCCACTCCGCACACGCTGTTCAATCTGCCACACGTGGAAGAAAATATCAAACACGTGTGATATTTTCCACACGCAAGAAATCGCTGTGTTTGCACTTTGCACGAGCACACGCTGTGTTTTGTGCTGCGCCATCAGCCACGCGTGGCCGATGGCGCAGCACAAAACACAGCGTGTGCGGCAGGCTTTAGCGGGACAGGTCAAGAACCCTGAAAATGTCCCAATAAAGTGTTGGTCTCGATTAAGCATTGAATGCATAACAACGTGTGCAATGTTAGTTTTTTCAAAGACATACGTCCTGCTTGTTTAACCGAGGCCCGATAAAGTGGGGATTACTGGGTTTATGCTAGTGAGGCATTCAAGTTGTTTTGTAGTTGTTATCTGATGAGCTAAGTGTTCGGTGTTTCTATCATATGGTTTGTAAGAATGTTCGAGTTACGATTACCGCTAATGAATGATTTGAATGTTTAATGCGTTTAAGATTTATGTGCCTAGCTGCCTAATATAAATGTTCAGGCCATATTACAATTATGTAACCAGTTATGTAATTATTTTAAATTAGCTGCACGAACTAAAAGTTTTCACTGATAGTGGTAGATAGACGTTCATTAATGTTGTATATGTCTAGTGCGTTCTTGAGCAAGTACATTAGAAAGGTGCATTGGGTATAGACTGACATAATTTGCTGTTTTTTTTTAAGTGCGGCAACTAAAATAGCAACTGCAATTCCCGAGTTCAACACGACGATGGTAACAAATGAGCAGGAGCTGTCTCATTTTCTACACCTGTACAATGAGAGTATCCATCACCTGGGCATCCGCAACTGTACCCTGCATGATGAGCTGAGCCAGGCGAGTATATTAATAAGTAAGAATTGTAAGCTTAAAGTAAGCATTGTAAGAACAATATAACTATAATGCGGTTGCAGGAACATGAACAGATACGTGTGGTTGAGGTTCTGTAGTCCGACGGGTCGTTGGTCCTACGGGTCATTGGTCCTACAAGTCATTGGTCCTACGGGCGTTGGTGTTACGGGTCTACGGCCAGCAGCGTCAGAAGATCCGCCTGTCGACCGTGCTGATCGAACTACTGACCGTACTAGGCATGATTGGCTACCTGTCAAAGTTTGCACCCCGACTAGCTGAGATTGCAGCACCACTTGGGGACCTTCCTAAGAAGGAGAATGAGTTTGTGTGGTACAGCTAGCAGTATGCGGTATTCCAGCAGGTAAAAGACTGGACTTTTAGGACTTTGGTTTATTCTCTCCCCTATACCTCATTGCATCCATCACTCTGCTCTGTCTGCCCCTCTTGCTAACTCTTACTGTTACTATTATAACCGTAGGACCAACATCCCGGGTACCATGCAACGACTCGTAGGACCAACGACCCGTAGTATTATAGACCAGTCCCCATACGTGTGATATCGACGTAAAGTTTCTCTCATGATGTGTAGGAATAAATGAACGATTCATACTTATGTTGATAAAGGCATGTATAATTGCAATTTAATATGTATTATGCATAAAAAATTTAACTATTTCAATTACTTTGCTTTCATGTATGTTTTAGTCAGCTCAGGGTACTGGTCTCGCATTCATCATATTTGCACAAGCAATAATCGAGCTCCCTGCTGCCCCCTTGTGGAGCGTCCTCTTCTTCATGATGCTTTTGTCACTTGGTCTTGGCACGATGATTGGAACACTAGAAGGCGTTCTGACAGCTATCCACGATATGAACTTATTTATATGGATGAAGAAATGGATGCTAGCCGGTAATTAAGCATCTTAAAGTTTCGTTTACTTAAGTTCATGAAATTTGGAGCAATTTCGGATTACATCGCATAATTTACTAAGTTATAAAATAGTTGCCTTTTTACCATTACGCTTCCGTTGTAACTCTATCAACTCCGATGTACTTGCGAATAAAGAAAATTATATAATATAAGATAACATGTAAATAATACTGAATTAGGAAACACCTAATTTGAAATTTAAGCTGAATTTAAGATTAAGATTCCATGGCGAGACGCACATGCATAAATGAACCAGCTATAGAAATAGCCATCCTATATTGGCTGATGCCACCTTGTGAGAGAATATGGGGTACCTTGACTAGCTAGATAAATCTATCATAATTAAACAGTAGTTATTACTTAGTATTTTCTTAAAGCACACAGTTCAGTTACAAACGTTATGTTTCTTGCAGCAATCATATGCATCATCTCGCTGCTCGTGGGTATGGTCTTTGTAACCAGGGCTGGCGAGTACTGGGTCAAAGTGTTTGATTCATACGGCGCAACATTTGGACTCATCTTAGTTGCTTTCTTTGAAATGATCAGTGTCACATACGTCTATGGGATTAATCAGTAAGTTTATTTACCTATATAGCAGCTATCATATTTTGTCTTTCTTACTAATGTATTCTTCTTCTTTTTCTTCTTCTTCTTCTTCTTCTTCTTCTTCTTCTTCTTCTTCTTCTTCTTCTTCTTTTTCTTCTTCTTCTTCTTCTTCTTCTTCTTCTTCTTCTTCTTCTTCTTCTTCTTCTTCTTCTTCTCCTTGTTTCTCGCGGATGATCCCCGCTGAAACGTCAGCAAGGGGCTGACCTCTCTGTTGACAATGCTTCTCCACCTTCCTCGATCGGCTGCATCGTCGTCCATTACTCCAAGCCTTCTCATCTCCGCCTCCACTCCATCCCTCTATCTAATTCTCTGTTGCCCTATCTTCTTTCTTCCTCTCACCGGCACCTGTCATGCTCTCCTCCATTGCTCCTCATCTTCCTTCCTAACCACATGACCATACCATCTAATCTTACTTTGCGTTATGACTTCCTCTGTTTGTCCTTTCTCTTACTCCAGCTATTCGTCGCACCTCCTCATTTGATCTTCATTCTCTCAGTGAAACTCCCAATATCGAACGCAACATTCTCATCTCCGTTCTCTGCAACCTCTTTTCCTCATCTATTCATATGGCCCAGGTTTCCGTTCCATACGTTAGCATATGGGTCTCACGACTGCCCCATACAGGGGCGTAGCTAGGGTGAAATGGATGTGTACGCACACATGCAGGCGTGCAGGTGTGGATGTGTCTGGGGGGGTTCCCCCCCCCCCAAAAAAAAAGGAGATGGTATTTGAGGCCCTTTTGAGTAAATGTACAGCCTTCATTCTGACTACGACAATTATCTTTTTAGTCAAACTATTCTCTTTATGAGCAACAAGATGTGATCACTAAAGATCACTATCAGGGGCGTAGCCAGTATGTAGCACTGTAGGCCCGGGCCTACACTTTTTTTGGCCAAGTTATCTTTTTTTTTAAAACACCCATAATTCAAATCCATAAGCTTGCTGGACGAGTTTAAGAGTCTAGGCAGGAAAAACTATTGAAATGAACGTAGCAAGAATATGTACTGGGAATAAATTAGTGACCGATATTCTTACTTGTCCATCTAGCTGTCATTTTCTAATCGGCGTGCCGTTTCCATGTCAAAACACTCGGATTACCGGTACATCTAACCCGCACGTAAAAAGACTAGGATGCCGAGGATCTGTCAAGTTATATTTTAGAACAGAGGATTTTAAAAAACTCGTGTCGTGAAACAACCGGGACTATTAACTTACGTGATTGTGTTTTTTGGGTTAAAAGTGATATGCAATGCAGGTGTTCTCAAGTATAGCCCCAGAGTGCCAGGGAACCAGAATGAACACTTCCGGGAAGGCGACGTTTCCCGGCCATACTGGGGGGTTTGTAAACCCAAAAATTTTCATTAGTACGCTCCAGCGCAAACCGATGGTCGCGCTCAGCCGGCTGAAATAGTCGTGGCCTACAACTTTAAAATCCGTGGCTTACACGCCCCTCTGACTAGTGACTTAATCATCGTAATTTTTAGTCTTATTATTATCAAGTAACATGGTGAACTAAAGCCAAGCATACTTCTTTAAACTCTCTTTCTCTCCGTCCCCATCTGCTGTGTGCAGGCGTGCGTGCGTGGCGAGCAAGCGTATCGTGTGGCTGGTGGCGTGTGGGCGGCGTGGTGTGCTCAAAACACAGCACATACACTCATTGGCTGTGCACAGTATTGTCCATACATCACATCACGCATTGTTATATGTCAATGTATAGTGCGGGCCACCCGTGGGCCAGAGGGCGACAGCAAAACTGGTCGCCGAAGCCCGCCGTGGGTGTTATTTGTTTATAAACAAATTGTAGTCTGACAATGACTGACTCTCTCGGTCCTCTCGTCTCTCGGAGGGTAATCTCTCCGTCTCAATCATCTCAGTCGTCTCTCTCCTTCTCATCTCTTCTCTTTTCCTCTCTGTTCTGTTTCTTGTCTCTCTGCTCTTCTCGTACTCATATCTTATCTATCTCACTGGCTCTTCTACTTCGTCTCTCCTACCTCCTCCTCTCGTCTCCGTCCTCACCCAGTCGTCACTCTCTCTCTGTGGCAGCTAAACAAAAGTTGTGGCTGAAATAGATGTCTGTACGCAAAAACTGCGTAAGTGCGTGCTTTTATGGTAGCTTACGTACGCGGCCCACTGCCATAAGATTTTATACTGCTTTTAAGTTTTGCTGGTCATCCTTGGTAGTCATACCAATCCTGAAACCTCTCCATAGCCATGATTTCTGCCATGCTGTCGCTTCGATTCTAGCTCCGCAATTTCACAGACCCTTACGCGATACCCACTGCCTCCGTCGAGCTTCCAACAGTGCTTGTAATTTGTTACACGCATAGGAAGCGTGAGACAGCAATAGAAGCGTGGAGTATTTCGAGCGCCCGACTACTGCCTCATCTTACTACTTCGGCTGCTGTAATCCTGTTCACACTCCCATCTTAACTGCTCTAATCATCCCAACGCTCTGACTTACGAAGTGCATCTTCACCTCCAGTCAAGGCCCCTTTTCTCCCTTAACCGATTTCCCTGGTCACGGCAGGGCATCTTTCCTGTAGCTCCTGCTCCGTTTTCCGGGGATCACTATTGCAGAGATCATTATTGCCAAATACCAGTCCCATCCACCAGTTTCTCTCAAGAGCGTCCGCGCATCGAGTACAAGGCACATCCGGCCGCTTGTTGCGCTCGGCCTGTTGGCGACAAACGGTATCCATACCCTGACCAGCGTGAAGAACTGAACAAGAAGATGGGGCTAAGTGCTGACCCTGGTCAGACGAACCACCTTCAACAGATCGAATGCCTGTTGTGTCTCCAACACGCTGGTCTCACTGTATGTCTTTTGATGCCTTTGTAAGCATTTCTTGTACTATAATTCTCACTATCTACTCGCATTCAACTGCCCTTTTTTTTCCTCCAAACACTATCATACACACCCGACTTCCGATTGGGGCAATGCGCCGTACCAGCTTTATATTGGGGGGGGGGGGGTTCCGTTTTTCAATATGTGGCAAATGCTTGCCTGCGCAGGGGCCGTGTAGCATGAGTTTGTAACCAGGCGTCTGGGTCTGACGAACCGTAATAACCCACCAGTTGCGAGCAACGCGAAAGGGGGGGGTCTTGCGACCCCCGCCCCTGTACACCACCTCGCCCCGCCTGCTCGGCGCCGATACGCGCCGATTAGCGACCCAAGGCAGGGAGCCAAGCTACTCGAGCGGGGGGGAGGGCTGTGGGAGGGGTGTCACTGTTCACAGACGCCTCCCGTCCCCGGATGAGATTTTCAAGTTTTACACCTAAAATGTAGCAACGCTGAGAGTCGAAATTCCGTTCGCGCGCAAATTTTCAATAATTATTAATGTTTTTTGCATTTGGGGAGGGCCTCGGGGGGGTTCGCATATCTGAACCCCCCGGAACCCCCGCTCTGGCTGAGCGGCCTGTACATTAGGCACCCTCTGGTCGTACGCATTTCCCTCTACTATCCGTAGGGAAAGTAAGCAAATACCTGAAGTATATTTTCCCTGCGCGTCAAGCTCTTTCGCTTGGCACTTGAGCCTCATATAAAAATGGCATCCACGTGTACTCTTCACCTTTCATGAAACCCAATACTGTATTCATCTTCATCATGCACTCTCTTCCCTTAGCCTGCATCAATTAATCTTTTGCCACGTATGCTTCAAACA